AAGGGAAGCTGATTTGTTGTAGAAAATACTCTGAGGAAATAGCATGTCTTGTGACTACAGCCTACATGAGGATCACTCGCAGCAAAGACAAAGCACTTTAGGCTGTACCGCTGCATACAGTGTTTTCACTGTATCATCAGAAGTCTGATGATCTTCTGCTGATTCTCTAAGAACTCACCCACATATACAGTAGTGGGAATGATAAATTATGACTAACATTTATTAAGTTTAATTTAATACAGTAAAAAATACTCTTGAAATCTTTAATATCTTGCTGATTCAAAGCCTGAGATGCTGCAGTTTCATTTGGAGTAAATGAAATGGGATGCTTTCTCATTAGTCCTGGATACTTCACTGAAGAACAGACATTCTGAAAACAGGAGTTACTGGTTACGAGATCGGTAGGTCCATGGCCAGAGCTGGGATAGTTCAGAGTACTCATAATCTACTTCTTTTCCTTTTCTAGAGACAAGTTTGCTTGTGTTTGTGCAGGTCAGTGACATGCTTCATTGTTTGTAACAGCTTTGGTTTTGTTGTTGTTTTCTTTCTAATACAAAATACACAGCTTCACTGGCCCATAACCTATGTGGAACATACCCATTTTACAGTCAATACATTCTGGAAGTCTTAAAACTTGACAAAGGGACTTTGAAACAGAAACTACCAGCACATGCTGTTCTCCTCTCTGTTTTTTTCCACGGAAGCTTATACGTGCATTCTGTCTGTGGTCCCAGATTGCAAAGCCAGAGACAGCTTTTATGCTTCACTTGATGTTGCCTCTTTCTTCATCAGTCACTTGAGACCTCTTTGGGCAGCAGAATTGCCTGCAATTATTTGGACATTTGTATCTTTTGGATAGAACTCCCATTATAAATTGCTCTTACTGATTGCAGCTTTTTTGTGTTTTCTTTTTAAACACTGGTAGAGCTGTTTATGCTGTTTCTGTATATATGCATCAGGAAAGGCTTTTAGTGTTGGGCTCAGCACGCAAGCAAGCAGTTCTTTGGAGTGCTAATAGATTTGTAGGCTGAGAGCTGAAGGCCACATGAAAGAACTTTTTCTTTTCCCCCAGTGGAGAATGGAATAACGTGAGGTAGTACTCAGATACCTCCTTTGCATCAAAGCCAGCTGTGCTCCCAGAATGGTGGTACTGGAATCTCCATAAAACTAATAGCACCAAAGATGTTGTATGGGGGGAATGGCGTGTTCAGAGATGGGACCATCATCTCTGTAAAGTGCTCAAGTTTCTAACTGGAATTGTAAACCACTGTTTCTATATTGCATCCTTTATATATGGCAATTCGAATGTGTTTCTTTTTATTCCCCTTCTCTCCCTACCTTTTTGTCAGTGTTTTCATGGGGTCCTGTACCACCATGAAGTATTACCCATTTGCTGCTTCACTCAGGTTTTCTAGAGGTTCAGTATCTGTAAAAGTGACAATTACAAGTGAGCTTCTATCACTCTGAGGCTGGGGATTCTTAAGGCTTCTTTGAGGACAGCTGGTGCAGGGCAAGTAAAGGACTTGGGTTTGGGCTGTGTAATGCTTTCCAACACTGTAAACAGCCGAGCATGCTGTCCTAAAATGCCCTGAAGGGAGTAAACTTAAGAAAGCTGCCAATTATAGAAAAATTTATGACTCTTCACTTTCAGAATTTCTCTGGTGCCCTGGACCACATCCAGGGCATCATCTAATAATCTTCCAGTTGCTGGACTCCACTTTTGGTCATCCTGATTATAAAAATACCCTCCAACAACAAGAAAACAGAAAAATACCAGTCCCAGAGACATTCCTTGTTTTGGTGGTCAGCTGCCTATCAGTTATGATAGCATGGGTATTTGTAACAGAAGCTGTTACTGAATCAGTCTACCACTTGCTTGGACAGGTTTGATCCAGTGAGCTGCAAGTTTTCTTTGTGCTGAGGCTCGAGAAGTATTTTCAAACCCACTGTGTTTCATTTAGACTTTGTTAGTCAGATGGCTACTGAGTAGCTATAAATATGGTTGGTACTTCCATGGTTTGTCTGCTAACATGCCAAACGCTGTCATAGTTTGGCTTCTTATATTTGAGCAGAATGTTTGGAGTTGGTGGGTATCTTGAGTAGATTAGAGAAGGAACTGGATCCTTTAAAAAACGATAACAACAAAACCCCCAAAACTGAACATATGATCCAGTAATTGCTGAAGTGAGTGAAGGTAATGCCTATGTCTACACTATATCTATTTCTCCATTTGACAGCTGTAATTTTCTTTGCCAGACTGAAGTGTTGCTGAATGTGTCACCAGGTAGTGGAGAGCAGTTACTGTGTTCAGGCTAGCCCAGATAAAGGAGTAAACTTCCCCCTTATGAGGCTGCCAAAGGGATCTGGGGTAACACTGGAGTCTCAGCTCCACTCGAGGATACATTTAATGTTTTCTGAAGAGATCCCAGCTTTTACAAACGTTGAGCAAGTTAGCAGAGTCCTGTGTAGGCATCCGAGCCCTGAGTTTCTTCTGTTTTCTTTTCAAATGGGATACAGAGGTGAGTCAGAGTAAGCTGAAAAAGCCAGGGACAGTCCCTGAGGGAAAACCATCAAGTTCAAACATGCTCAGAAGGCTCACATATGGAGCATGTGTTATAGCCAAATTAGTACACATCTGCAAAGGTCTAGATAAGCTGTCTTCAGGTAGGTACTTGATTTTTTTTGTATTGAGAAGGGAATTTGGCCTTTCCATGAGGTGAATACAAGAGGTTCACTAACTGCAGTTGTAGGTGTTACCTGTTTCTTTATTTTACAATATGTAAACGTGCCATAAAGATGTTTGTTAAACATCTTGATTTCCTTGTTGCTGTTTTACTTCAGGGATCATTAGTCCTCCTGATAGGACTGAAACATTGCTAAGTTTTCAGAGCTTGTTCTTTCTCATGAGTAACTGGGTTATCCTGCTTGTGAATTATCAGGATCTCTTAAGTTTCTAACGTTGCTTGGCCTTTACAGCTGTCGAAAGGCTACTCCAAAGCTTAATGTTTGAGATCTCTTCAAGCTTCCAGCTTGTTCCAGCTGCAAGTCTGGTCTTCCATTTGCATCCAGTTTATATCTGTATTCTTAGGTTGTTGTAGTTCTTACTCCTTGAATGCACCCATATAGAATATTCACCTACCGTTTTCTTAATTTTACTCGATGAAACTAGACTTAAGGTTTCCTCCTGTAAAATAGGCTTTTTGTTGCCTGTCCTCTGAGCTGTCCTCCCCTCTGCACTGCTTACCATCTGAATCCAGTCGTTGCTGAAAATGGGTGGCTGGGGCTGTTTGCAGAATCCTGATGAGGATTTATTAGCATTTAGTGAAAAAAGGGTTTTGGGTTAGTGATTCCTGTATTATACTGTGCTTTTGGCTGTATCTACTCCAGTTATCCTTGGTTTGGCTTTTTTGGATCTGAGCTTTTTTAATCTGCACGGTCATGCTGCAAGTAGATTCCTAAAAGCAACATCTTTAGTTTTTGTGTTGCTTTCCAATAAGGCTTTTATTTTGTAGAATAATTCCTACCTAATGTTTGGCTGACTTTCATGGATTCATGAAAGAAGGCTTATTTTACGCTGCAGAGTTCAGCTTCTCTAAAATAGATGATCCCCATGCTGTTCACATTAAGCATCAGGGAATTTCCAGCTAGCTTGAATTTCTTTGTGGTGAATTTCTGTTCTAGGAAGATGGATGCCTTTACTTGTTCATCACTTCAGTACCCTTTATTGTACTTTTACAAATGAAAACTGGTCTGCTTTAGTAGAATTCGTTTTCCTGGCTTATCTCTTCACTCAGCTCCTCCCTGTAAGCAGCAGCTGCCTTAAATCATCTGCTCAGGAGGTTTTTTTAGGGTGAGTGGGAAGGCAGAATGGTTTGCCAATGACCATTCTGAGTTCTGCCATTTAACAATTCATCTCTTCTTAGGTACATGAAGCTTCTTCCCCCCGTATGTGTGGTTTTTGCTTTTCTAAGCTGCCACTTCCTTCTCTGTTGAATATTGATGGGTTTGTTCAGTGTAAAAGAAGCTGAGGAGGATTTATCTTTACATCTTTATGTTCTAAGGGGATGTCAGAGTAGTATATGCACGTTGGTGGGATCAGAAGGTAATAGCATTGCATCAGCATTTGGTTTATGTATTCTAAGAAACTCCTGTTTCTGGAGAGCTTTTGGTGGCAAGCTCCAGTGTATGAGACCATTCAGAAGTTGTATAACTTGGTTGCTGTTGTATTTAGTTCCTTCAGAGAATTAACTTTTTTTCCCCCTAGAAAGCTGGCATTAATGCTTTCCTCAAGTGTGCTAAAAGCAGTAATCTGTGCCATTGTGCATTACTTGAGTGAACTGTTGTTCTAAGAGCAATCTAGATGGAAATATGATGTGCAGACAGGCAAAATGAATCATCTTGATGGAGTTGGCCAAGATACCACTGCAGTGTAAGGTTTTGGTCTGATGCAGGGTTGTTTTCATATGTTGTAAGCTATTGTGATGGAGTTGGAAGTAATTTGGACTTGAGGTTTCTCAATTTTCTGACCTTTGCGATGATAATAATTACTATTACTGAAATCCGAATAATTCCCTGGAGACTCCTCTATCATATTGTCAATTTTTTAACACTATTCCAGTAGCTTTCAGTCACCCTTCCCGGACAGGACCTAATTCTTCAAGGTGTAAAGACTGTCTATTCATAAATCTCTTTTTCCTTATTATATATAGCAGGAGATGGAGGGAAGGGAAGGAGTTTCAAGGCCAGTTTTTTATTCTCTTTAGTTGTGTATGCCTAGGGCATGTGTACAAAGAAAGGGGTGGATGCTTTCAAAAGCCTTTCAAAGTAATCTTTGGCTGCAGAAATGCCAAAATTGGGCCTCATTAATGGAAGAAGGTAACAAAGGCTGCAGGAGAGAATAGATTTTTCTTTTAAATCTAGTCTTTAGGGATTTAAAGCTCTTACTTCATCTAGGTGATTGAGGTAAAAAGCTGCCTGCTTTATCGTTCTCTTCTCTTTCTAGGTTTCCATGAAGATAAACAATTGAAATGTGGATAGCCTATTTGTAGCTTGGTGGTGGTTGTCATCTGGAACCTGCAGGTGGCTCCTCCCAGTAGCTGGTGTCACGTTGGCTGCTGAGAGCCATGAAGGTTGTACCGGAGAAGAATGCTGTCCGCATCCTGTGGGGTAGGGAACGGGGCACCCAAGCCTTGGGTGCTCAGCGGCTCCTGCAGGAGTTGGTGGAGGATAAAACTCGATGGATGAAATGGGAGGGCAAGGTAAGGTTGTGGGATAGAAGTGCATAGCTTGACCTTGGAGTGGGGGAAGGGAGGCAGGGATTTGAAATAAATTGTCTTGTGATTGTACATTTGATGTGTTACACTTGATATGCTCTCTGGCTCTGTTCAGTTCCTGCAGTGATGTGATACTAGATACGTTCCTGCAGCGGGTTCCCCTTGTTGTCTGTGTGGCTTACAGTTAAAGTGTGATCATATGACACTTGCAACACTTCCTGCTTTGTTGGCTTTTTCAGAAAGTTGAGTTACCAGACAGTCCACGCTCCACCTTCTTGCTGGCGTTTAGTCCAGACAGGTAATTAACTCCTAGTTCGTTCCCTGTTTCACCAGTCTCCTTACACTTACAAAAGTGATGGAGGCATGTGCCCATTGAGTTGTCCAGTCCTGAATAGCTGAGTGAAACTTCCGGTTCCTGATGTGCATGGACGGAACATGTGCACCTTCCTAATCTCACAGCTTCAAACACAGTTGGTGTTTAATCTCTGAGGTACCCAAGCGATGCATAGTTCTAAGGAAAAAGGATCTGTGCGGCCACTGTGGGATTTTGTGAGAAACTTGAGGGAGTAAAGGGTGTTTTAGCACAATATGCCAAGTGATGTGGCACACCCACTGGGATATCTAGGACTAAAGAACAGAGCAGAATGATGAGTGTATTGGAAGCAGAAACGGAGGTGGGGTCTCTTAGTGTCACTTGATTGACAGTGGTTGAGATGGTGTGGAGAATTGGGAATATTTATTTGCCCCAGTCTGTTACTCAGGAGTTCCTTCTGAGCTGCATGTTCACTCTGACTTTCAAGGTCAAGTTTGTGCTTGCAGATCGGATGAGCTCATGTTTGCATGGACCCTGAATCTGGCTACAGGAAGCGTTGTGGCCATTGGTGAAACAGTAGCCTTGTACCCTTTGAGCTCTGTGTGGGAGAGCTGCTGGGTTAGGTGTGAACAGACCCTGTTGAGATGAAGCTAACCGTGGTCTGGTTTTGCTGTGTTCTTCTCATGCTAATGTTTATCCTACCTTCCTCATTCCCAGGACCCTAATGGCTTCCACACATGTGAACCACAACATCTACATCACAGAGGTGAAAACGGGCAAATGTGTTCATTCCTTGGTTGGACATCGCCGCACTCCCTGGTGTGTCACCTTCCATCCCACCATCCCGGGCCTCATTGCTTCAGGATGCTTAGATGGGGAGGTTAGAATTTGGGATTTACACGTAAGTCTTCCCTGAAACACGTGTGCCTTTGGTATTTGGTGGGTGGTGGCTTTTTTGTCTGAGTTTGTTTCCCAAATATTGCCTGGTAAGAGCTGTTTGGAAGCTTTGCTGGGATCTGTCTCTAAGACCATAGAACAGATCATAGCCATCTTCTGTCTAGAAAGAAGGTGACAAATTCAGTCCCACCAGGTAGGTCGTGCTCCTTAGCCATGCCTGTTTATTTGAGTAATGATAATGCTGGATAACTTTGTACAAGGTGCCTGTTTAGTTTACGTGAAAGACGTGCTGTTTCTGTTGCACTGAGCGTATCTAAACTCTTCATTAGAGAAGCTGCTGCTCTGCCAGTTCTGGTGACTGGCACAGAGACAAAATACATATACTTACCTGGTTGCTTTGAAATGCAGCTTTTTTACAGGCTGCTTGAGACACACTTACCTCCAAAAATACATCTGTGGTCATTGTTGGAAGTAGTGTTATGTTTTAGGCATGACTTGCATGAGAGCAGCTGTTGTTGCCAAGAAGGCATGTCAGTTCTAGGCAGAGTCTTAGAGAGATGGAAAACAAATGATTGTAAACTTTATGATAAACTGCTTGTTATTCTTGACTCCTCATTCAGGGTGGAAGTGAGAGCTGGTTCACAGATAGCAACAATGCCATTGCATCGCTTGCTTTTCATCCTACGGCTCAGCTCTTGCTGATTGCAACTGCCAACGAGATACATTTCTGGGACTGGAGTCGTCGGGAGCCCTTTGCAGTGGTGAAAACAGCTAGTGAAATGGAGCGGGTCAGGTGAGTTCCAGGGGAAGAGAAGATTTGGATGTGAAAAATGGTCAGATTTGGGGAATGTGGGGGGATCCTCTGGGATGCCGCACTGAGGCAGTGGAGAGTATTACTTGCAGCTCCTTGGCTTAGCTGGTAGAAAGAGTGCTGTGGGCAGGAAAAAAAGGCAATTGGAAAGAACAGATCAGCCTGGTTGTTTATATTTGTGCCAAATCAACATCCAGAATCTACTTGATGTGCATTTGTCAGCTTAGTAATTAAACTTGTCAGCAAGAAGGTTGAGAGAGCCCAGAAGTTGTTGGAAGAGAGCGCTGAGCCATTACTTTGGTGCGGTTAAAGAGCAAACTGCATTGCTGGAAACTTGATGCCTTCTTTTGACCAATTTAAAATGAGACAATAATGCAAGACAAGTTAATTTTTGCCTCTGTACCAAATTCCAGTTCGTAATATATACCTACATACTCCTTAAAATTTCCTGGCTACTTCAACTGATACAGCAGTACTTGGTTCCAGCTTTTAACTTCTGTGTTGTGTTGCTGTGGACTATAACATAGCTGCGGTCTTCAGCTTGATAACTGTGTTTCTTTCTTTTTAATCCATAAACTTCTTGGCATCCTTCAGAAGATGATGATGGTAATATAGTAATGTTCTCACTGCAAATATTTCACATGGGATTTTCTTCCCTGCTGTGTCCAGCTTCCTGTGTCAATGTGGAATGTGACCTGATGATTAATACTCTGGCTCTGCTTTTGTTTTAGGCTGGTACGGTTTGATCCCTTGGGACACTACTTGCTCACAGCAATTGTTAACCCTTCTAACCAGCAGGTAAGGCTGTACCTGTGTTGATTGGCTAATTATAAGGTGCTCTCCATACATTAACCCTAGTCTGTTCCTAAGCAGCCTTGTGCCTTTTTGAAAACCTGAAGTCCTAAGCCAAGGTCTGTCTTGCCTTAATTGGTCACATGAATGTTCTTGTGTTATGTGCAGGGCTGTCAAAGAGCTCTCCAAAGTGTGTTTGTTTTGCCCTCACTGTCTCATTAATAGTGGGACAGATGTCCCAATGGCCCTGCTCTTTCAGTTCTGTTTTCACATTCTGCTGGATTTGAAGCTATGCAAGGTATTAACAATGCTCCCTACAGCTGCTGACCCTCAGATGCTTGTGCTTCTGTTCATATGAATAGTGTATTGTAAAAGCTCACTGGGCTGTAGAAGAGGTCATCTGGATCTGTAGAATGAACCTTGAAATAGTCTCACCTCTTTTCCTGCAAGTCAAGGCCTCTAGGAAGGGACTTACTGCATCCTTTCATCTGGGGTGGTAGCTGCCTTTCTGCTGTTTATTTGGAAGTATAGGATTTTGCTGTGGGGTGACTGAACTCTAACTGCTTCCCTCTGCAGAGTGATGAGGAAGTGGAAATCTCCGTGGACAGCACAGAGATGCCGCATTACCGCCAGCGCGCTATCCTTCCGTCTCAGCCTGTGAGGCGCACACCCCTCCTCCACAACTTCCTGCATATGTTGTCCTCCCGCTCCTCTGGCATACAGGTGGGAGAGCAAAACAGTGTTCAAGACTCTGCTACCCCATCCCCTCCACCGCCTCCACCACCACCACCTCCGCCTCCAGCCAGTGAGAACACAAGGGCATCTGTCTATAACAGGCTCCGAGAGCGTGTCAGCTATCCCACAGCAGAGTGCTGCCAGCACCTGGGGATGTTGTGCCTTTGCAGCCGATGCTCTAGTGCAAGACTTCCTTCTTCTCTCTTCCCACACCAGGAAAACGCACCCTCCACGTCTTCTGGGGCCACTGGCACTTCCTTCTCCTCTGTGCAGACAGAGCCTTATCAACCCCCAGAGCAGGCATCCGTAGTGCAGGAGGAGCAGGGGATACTTAACAGGCCCTCTGCTTTCAGCACAGTTCAGAGCAGCACTGCTGGCAACACCCTGCGCAACCTTAGCCTGGGCCCCACGCGGAGGTCCCTCAGCGGGCCCCTGGCAGGCCACCAGTCCCGGTACCAACAGTCTGCAAGAGAGATGGCTTCAGGCTTAGGTGGGTCTGACTGGTCCAGGACAGTGCTGAACATGAGCTCTCGGTCAGAGCTGGAAGCCATGCCTCCCCCTAGGACCAGTGCCTCCTCCGTGAGCTTGTTGTCAGTGCTGAGACAGCAGGAGGGAGGTTCCCAGGCATCAGTCTATACCTCTGCAACAGAAGGGAGGGGCTTTCTGGCCCCCGGGGCTGAGGTGGACAGTGGTAGTAGTGCTGGCCCAAGCAATCCGGCCAGCATCCGTAATGAGCTCCAGTGTGATTTGAGGCGATTCTTCCTGGAATATGACCGGCTTCAGGAGTTAGATCAGGGGATTGGTGGGGAGCCCAGCCAGTCGCAACAGGCTCAAGAAATGCTCAACAACAACATTGAGCCTGATCGGCCGGGTCCCTCCCATCAGCAGACTCCACACAGCAGTGAAAACAGTTCCAATTTGTCCCGGGGTCACCTGACCCGCTGTCGCGCTTGTCATAACCTGCTGACCTTTAACAATGACACGCTGCGCTGGGAGAGAAGCACGCCTAGCTACACAGCAGGGCAGGTCCAGAGCACGTTTGAGGGTGTACCTCCAAATACCAGCCAGGTGCAGCCTGCAGAGAGAACCGAGGGCAGAGCTCCTGCCTCTGGCAGGCTGCAGCTGGGCAGCTCTTCCACCCCGCAGGAGGAGAGGACCGTGGGAGTGGTCTTTAACCAGGAGACGGGGCACTGGGGAAGAGGTTACAGCCAGTCGGCTTCAAGCAGACCTGGGAATGTATCACAGGAGGCCTTAAACCAGGAAATGCCTGAGGAAAGCTCAGAGGAGGATTCACTCAGGAGGTAAGATATATGCTTGGCCTTCCTCCTCTATTTTTGTTTTCTTACACTTTTCCCATCTAGTCTGAGTTTTTCAGTATTTCCAGAGTTAAAAACCTTTTCTCATGTGGTCATGTGCTATTTATGTAGGTGAAAATAGAGACCTGGCTTTGATGTCTCTTATAGCTGCCATTGTCACGCTGCAGATAGGTTCTGAAGATTAAGGGCAGAGACCAGACCTCTCAATGGGAAAAGAGGATGATAGTGCAGGAAGCAAAAGGATGGGCTCTGGCAGTGGATCTCTGGGGTGAACTGGTGTTTGCCAGATGCTGCAGAAGGGTGGGAACACAAGATGTGCTATGCTGTCCTTTTCCACATACCACACATGTGCTGCATGTGAAGAATCTGCCCAGGGTGTGCATGAAGAATTGGGCACAAGTAGTGAGAATTGCTTTCTTGAGTGCTCTGTCTTGTTGATGTGGTTATTGTTAAGTTAGAAGAGTTAACGGTCATTTCCTTGGTCTTGCATACAGGGCAAAAAAGGTCAAAGCTCTGTGCCTTTGGGCATATATCTTAGCTGCATGGGTCAAACCCATGCAGTTGGCTTGCCCTTGATAAAGATGTAAGTTTTGAAAGTGGCTCCCATTGGCCCATATCTAGGGTGAGACAGTTGGAAGCATGCTGATCACTGCAAATTTTAGGCTCTGCTGTTTTCTTTAAGAAAGTGATTTTCTTTTGAAAGGACTTTTTTTATACATACTTTGGATGTGTTGCAAGAAACAATGAGCCAAATTGAACTTGCACCAGGAAGGATCTGTGCTTTGTATGAAAGTGTCTCCACTGGCTTCTGTGGATGATTCAGCTACACTGGTACTTTGGATAGGGTTTCCAGACTGGATTTCAGTTTGACATCCTCTCCATCAAGTGATGTGTTCTTGTCAGAGGAAAGGTCCAGTCCTGCTGTTTCTTGGAAATGGATGCTTTGTGCTGTAGGAAAGCAAAGTTTCCGGGTTGGATGCAGATATAACTGACCAAGGACTCTTTGTACACAGGAGTGCCTGAGGAAAGGGAATACTTTCCTCCTTCCTGCAGATAAGCTCATTATACTCAGGCTGAAACAGTGGCTGCCTTTCTTGTTCCTGTAGCTGCATAGCAAATCAGTGGTGGTGGTCATAAAATTATTCATCTGCTTCTAAATCCTTGTCCCAGTTTTTTTTAATAGCCTGCCACAATGAGAGTCTGAAGCTGATTACATGGTAACTGTTTCTTTCTTGGGCCTGAACTTACCTGCCTTTGGTTTAAATCAGATATCCTCTAGTCCCCTATTACAGGGCAGAGAGGTGAGAAAGAGCTGACAAATTTAGCTTTAAAATGGCACTTGAGTAAGTATTGCATTACCTTTCTTTTGAAATAGCTTTACCTGCTCATATAATGTCCACTGTGTGGCTTGTTCTCTGGGCTGAGTCACTGTAGTGTCAGAAATAACAGGGACAAGTAGGTTTTTTATTGATCAGGCAGTTGGTACATATATGAGCATGCAAGAACTGGATGGGATGCTGCTTAACAGCTGGATCCTGTGACAAAACCTCTGGGTCACTTTGCCTGTTGCCCGTGGTGATTGCTGTTGCCAGCAGCATCTGTGAAGGGTCAGTTGCCTACCTGGTCACCTGTGCAAATAGGTGCTTTTACTGAGGCGTTAATTTGGGGTGTGTAGTTTGATGTGTGAACTTAATGCCAGGGGAATTCCTATAAGATGAAACCTTTAGTGAAACCCTTTTTGGCAGAGGTTGCTGAGAAGCCCAGAGGGGCTCTGTTGTTTTCCCCATCTCCTGCTTCTGTTATCAGGCCTTTCTCAAGAACAGGCATGGCAGGGCTTTTTGCTTCCCCTCTAACTGGACTTAACTGTAGAGTACTGAGGTAAGGAAGCTGGAAGCAGTGAGCAGTATGTATGAAATGCTCATAGCAATTTCCCTGAAGTAAAATTTAATTTCCTTTCCTGTTAAACACATTGGATGGACTTGGGAGATTTGTGAAACTTTTCCCCTTTAAAGGAACCCTGCATGTGGGATAGCCATATCCTGCAGGTGTAATTTTCTGCCCTTCTCAAATTAGCTGTTCTATTTTTCCTTATAGAGCAATAACAAACCAACGAGCACACATTTACCTGATTTTTGCATAGAATGAACATCCTCACACCAAATCTTCTTGCCTCCCAGACCTAGGGTGTGCTCCCACAATGGGAAGTGCTGGAAACGCTCCTGCGCAACAAAGTCCAAAACGTCTATTAGCCTTTGCAGCCACAGAAGTGTGCAAAGGGGGTGGGTAAGGGTCATGAGATGTAAGCTATGTAATGCTGGAAGTGCTGGGGAAATAAAAGAGGGAGAGTAAGCCTTCAGGCCCGAGGGTACAAGTGATAACTGCATACACTTTCAATCAATTTTGTGCCTATGGACCTCAGGTTAGTTCTTAGCATTGGACATCAATGTATTTGCTTTGTAACCTGTCTTCTGTTCTTCTTTGTCTCTCCATTAGATGTCCTCATTGGGCAATTGAGCTCTATTCAAAGGCCATCTGAAAAACTTAAGATAAAAATTTCACCTGGGAACTGTGTGTATGTTCTCATTCCCTGTCCATGGGCAGGATCCATTCCTTGACCTGTCTTGCCTGGCTGAGAAGTAGCTTGCTGGGAAGACATTGCCACAGAGGGTCAATTAACTTAATAGGTAGTTTAATGAAGGCTGTTGTTTGACTTCTGTTGATGCAGCTGTGTCAGCTGGGTAGGGAGAGAATTCTGCTCTTTCTGATGATGCTGGGCTAATTATCTTGGGCTAATCACGAAGGCATTAAGAAGCATGTAATGAAGCTATTCCTGACTAACAGCTCTGGTACCTCTATTAGGAGGAACATGTCACTGGGAGCCTTGGCAGTACAGCAGTGCTGTCACATTCAGCTTGGCCTGAAAGCAGCATGGGCGTTGAGCTGTGTGCTTCTTGAAGCTGTGTCAGTGAAGTATGAAATTAGGGAAGGTTTATGGTCTCCCTTAAGCAGAAGTTAGTGAGACTGAGCTTCAGCTTTTCTGGTGTTCTTCAGGCTGATCTCATTAATTCAAATGCAGGGTTTTTTCTCTGGATCTATCTTTGCCTCAATTCTAACATCAAAGTGAAAAGAGCCTCAGAAATCCCTGGAGTTGCCATGTGAAATGTGCTGCATAAAATGGGTGTTACAAGCTATTGGCAAGATCTGCATGAAAGAAAGAACTGAGCAACAGATGATACCTAGTTTAATTTTCCTATAACTTTGTGTTAATTAAAAAATGGGTTGAGGAAGCATGTGTTAATATTGTAATCTTAGTGAGGGAAAAGATCCTCTAAGTACTTTAAGCCATTTTTGCTCTATGGGCCAGTTCAGATTGGTAATGAAAAGTTGAACAGGGAATGAAAGAGGATTCTTTGAGTCAGCTGCTTGTTTGAGAGGAGTTTAGTGCCACCTTCTAAGAAAATGATATATGGAATCCTGGCAGTGGTCTCCACTGAAATACATTTCAGCTCATCAGTTAATGACAGGTACAGTGCAATGCTGACTAATAAAACTGATCCAGATCTTCAAATGCCACTTCTTTGGCTGTTTTGACACAAGTGATATATGCAGAACTAGTGTGTTATTTCACAAAGAAGAAGATCCTCTGGTTTTAAACCTAGTGTTGTTTGTGAGTTCTGGCATGGCACCATTGGCCACAGTCTTTCTAGAAGGGATGCAAGGAGCAAGTAGTGGCATGTTTGTCCCTGTTGACATATTTTAAACTTTATCCTGTGAAACAATCCCTAGAAAGGGGAAAAAGAAAAATACACAAAGGGAAACTTGTCCTCTACACACTCAAGATTTAGCTGATTGTAATATAGTAAAGGGGCAATTCTGTTATTGTTTACCTGTCTATTTTGACTAGAGATTTGAATGAAGTACTGCAAATGAAAGATGAGTCCTGTCAGGCAGGTTTGCATGTGGCAACCTTTCCTCATGTGTTTCATGAGGAAATGCTTACTATCCTTATTCTTCCATTAAGAAGCTTTGTCTGGCAATTATGTTAAACCCCTCTAACCACTCCATTACACTAATTCTAGAGGTCAAATTCTGTGGGCTGTACTATGAGTAACTTCTATGCCTGTGACTGAAGAATGCATAATGTTTTCACCTTGCCTCACCTATTTAGTTTGGCAGACAAGATATGGACTATAGAAGTTATCTGAAAATCTGAGAAGTCTTTTGAACTGTCCTGGGTGATGGTTTTGCCATGCACACAGGTAGGATGGAGCATATGTGAGATCGGAGTTTGTATTGTCTGGGGACACTTGTATAAACTCCTTTATTTTGCTTGTGAGTGTATAAAAGAGCAGAGTCCACAGTGCTGTGCAAATAATTGACCTGCTGAAGTTGCACAGCTTACTGAAGGCATTGCTCGTTGATGTGTTTCAGCCTGTTGGATGCACTGTGCACAAGTGACATGTGCACACCAGCTTCCCTGGAACCATGTAACAGGGTCCAGGGTCAAGTTTGTGTCTATCCTTCTGTCAGCTCTTGCCTGAGGACTCTGGTCTCTCCTGCCTGCATTCTTGCTACACGACATGAACCCAGTCTTTTTTTTCCTGGGCTAAGATTGCGTTGCACTCAGCCTGGATGAGAAATCTATAGGTAGGATTGTGAATGTGATCCAGAGGTCGGTGCTGTACACTGCCAGTCAGTTTGGCTGTTTTGTGTTGCCCTTAGAAGGATTTAAATGCTCTACCTGTGTTTTCACCTGCTAGAGGATCTTTGTGCCCTGGTCTTGTAGAGGCCTGACATAACACCAGGTAGGTGCAGCAAGGTGGAAATGGTGGTAAAGTTTCCACCTGCAACTCATATCACATCTCACTTCTGTCTTGATGGCCTTTCTGCAACACGTAGCTCTCCATAGTTACAACAGGTATGCAAAGAAACGCCTAGTCTTTTCCCCTTTGAATTTGTCAGAACTTATTTCCATATTGCTTTGC